TTCCCGAAAATTGGTTAATGCAGCGTTCAAGTACTGGTAAAGGTGTGCAAGGATATACATTCATAAGATCCAAAATTCGCAACGAAAATAACCTGGTACATTTAAATTGTTTTCATTATAATAAATAATAAATGCCGATATCATTTAAAAAAATGTATAATCATTTGAGACACCAAGAAATGCAAAAATAAAACACAGTCCAAGTAAGTTAAGCCTTTCTTACCTCATCTTCATTTCCTGTAACGTCAAGTGTTATCATACTCGAGCTAAATTAAATATTGTGCTCCTTTTTCAGAGTCCCACCAGCAGGAAGTGTGTTTTCATGATACGAGCTCACAAACTTAAAGTCACTGGTGCGCGAGCCTGTGGTTAGATATGTATCATAATTGTAAGAGCTGCGGAGAGTTCCTGCTCCATCCACATCTGCATAGTTGGGAGGGAGATAGGCGCTGGGCACAGCAACTGCTCCATCAAACAACAGTCTGGGCTTTCTCCTGTGACAAAACTTCACTGCCACGATCAATATGATGAACGTCAGGAAGAAGGTGGACACGCAAACTAATGCAATGATCAAATATGACGTCAGTTTAGAGTTGTTGTCCTCATAAGTCATATCTTTAAGTTCAGGAACTTCAGAAAGGTTGTCAGAAATTAGTAAATTTACAGCACAGGTCGTAGACAGAGAGGGCTGTCCATTATCCTTCACCGAAATAACAAGGTTCTGCTTCATATTGTCAGATTCAGAAGATTCAGAATGTGTTTTGATCTCTCCACTATGGAGACCAATCGTGAACAGTCCCGGACCAGAAGATTTGGAAGATTTGAAGGACAGCCATGCATTCTGTCCAGAGTCAGCATCTACAGCGATCACCTTGGACACCAGAGAGCCTGAGAGAGTCGCTTTAGGGACCATTTCAGTCATTAAAAACTTTCCATCAGGAACAGGGTATAATATCTGTGGAGAGTTATCATTCTCATCTGTTATGAAGACTTTCACAGTCACGTTACTGCTGAGCGGTGGAGATCCATTGTCTCTGGCAACAACTTTGACAGTGAAGTTTCTGAACTGCTCATAGTCAAATGATCTTACAGCATGAATCACCCCTGTATCTCCATTAATAGATAGAAATGAGGACACTGGGACCCCACTGACTTCACTGGGAACCACAGAGTACAGTACAGTCCCGTTCTGTCTCCAGTCTGGGTCATTTGCACTGACAGAACAAACAGAAGTGCCTGGTTTGTTATTTTCACTTATATAAACAGCATATGTCTGTAACTCAAATGTAGGGGAGTTGTCGTTGATGTCTGAAACTTGTATGTTCAGAGTTAGATTCGAGAATAAGGGGGGTGTACCTCCATCCGTTGCTGTTATTGTTACATTATAATTTTCGATTTGCTCCCGATCAAGCGAACGAGTTGTAGTGATAATGAAATAAGACTTGATGTACGGCTGTAGTTGAAATGGCAGACTTGAAGAAATGGAACAACTAACCCGGCTGTTTTCACCGGAATCTTGGTCCTTCACGTTTATTACAGCGATCTCTGAACCGGGTGGGATGTTTTCTGGGATTTGGTTTTTCAGAGACTTTACTGATATAACAGGCGTGTTATCATTTATGTCATCTATTTCAATAACAACTTTACAGTGGCCTGTCTGACCTCCACCGTCCTCCGCCTGCACTTCCATCTCGTACGACGAGGACTTCTCGTGGTCCATCTGTCCAATTACAGATATTTCTCCATAATTTTCGTCAATTTTAAACAATTCTTTTGTGTTGTCAGATAGGTGATTGATATAATACGTTATTTGTCCATTTGCGCCCTCATCCACATCGGTCGCAACAATTTTGATGACAGACGTTCCGAGTGCTGCATTTTCGAATAAACGAGTGTTGTACAAAGGCTGCGAAAATACTGGTGCATTATCATTCACGTCTATCACGAACACTTCAATAACAACAGTTCCAGATTTAGGAGGATTTCCCCCATCCACTGCAGACAATATCAAGGAATGCTCTCCTTTTGTCTCATGCAATGATCAAATATGATGTTAATTTAGAGTTGTCCTCATAAGTCATATCTTTAAGTTCAGGAACTTCAGAAAGGTTGTCAGAAATTAGTAAATTTACAGCACAGGTTGCAGACAGAGAGGGCTATCTGTTATCTTTCACCGAAATGACAAGGGTCTGCTTCATGTTGTCAGATTCAGAAATGTCTCGTTGTGTTTTGATCTCTCCACTATGCACAGTCACGTTACTGCTGAGCGGTGGAGATCCATTGTCTCTGGCAACAACTTTGACAGTGAAGTTTCTGAACTGCTCATAGTCAAATGATCTTACAGCATGAATCACCCCTGTATCTCCATTAATAGATAGAAATGAGGGCACTGCGACCCCATTGACTTCACTGGGTACCAGAGAGTACAGTACTGTCCCGTTCTGTCTCCAGTCTGGGTCATTTGCACTGACAGAACAAACAGAAGTGCCTGGTTTGTTATTTTCACTTATATAAGCACTGTAATACGGCTGCACAAAAGCAGGAGGGTTGTCATTCACATCTGAGACAAATAATCTAATAGTTTTAGATGGCGTTAAGGGCGGGGAACCCTCGTCATTACTGTAATCGTGATATTGTATTCAGATTTTCTCTCTCGGTCCAACGCTTCTGCTGTGACCAATGCAAAGTGGTTCTTAATTGATGGTATTAGTTTAAAGTGATCGTTCTGCTGAATAAAACATTTAATATTTCCATTAGATGCTATATCTTTGTCCTGCACGTATATAACTGCAACTTCTGTACCCACAGTCACATCCTCCAGAAGCGGCGTTTTAAGAGATTTAATCATGATAAAGGGAGCATTATCATTGACATCACTGATGTCTACCACTACTTTAGAAGTGGCTGCTAGACCAGCTCCGTCTTTTGCTTTAACTCGGATCTCAAACGAAGGACTGTCTTCAAAATCTAATGGCCCTTTAATTGTTATTTCACCCGATATGGGGTCTATTGAAAAAAATAGACTTTGCATTCACTGGCATATGACTAAATTCATAAGTAACATCTCCGTTTGCTCCTTCATCAGCATCACTGGCACTCACAGTAACCACAACTGAGTCTACTGGAAGGTTTTCAGGGACACTCACCTTATATACCTACTGGCTGAGAAAAAAACTGGTTTATTATCATTAATGTCCAAAACGCGGATTTGTATAACTACAGTGCCTGATTTCTGAGAATTGCCCCCGTCATAAACTATCAAAATAAGAGAATGCTTGTCTTGTTTTTCACGGTCCAGTTCATGCTCCAACACTATTTCTGCATATTTCCCAGTTTCGGCGCTAGTCTGTACAGCTAATTTGAAATGCGGGTTATTTGAGAGTCTGTAACCTTGTACTGAATTTATTCCGCTGTCTGGGTCCGCAGCTTCGTCGATGAAAAATCGGGACCCTTTAACTGTAAACTCTGAGATATCTAATTTTACCTCACTGTGGGGGAAGGTCGGGTTGTTGTCGTTTATGTCTTGAATCTCCAGAGTTATACGGTGTAGTTCAAGGGGGTTTTCCATGAAGATATCAAAAGTTAATGTGCACAAAGGTTTTTGTCCGCATAGCTCTTCTCGGTCAATCCTTTCATTTATAACCAGTTCACCATTATGCGCGTTGATTTCACTGTAGCGGTTTCTTCCATCAAACTCAATCCTAGGATTCCGTGATGTAAATGTATTCCTATGGACTCCTAAATCCTGCGCAATATTGCCGACCACTGACCTTCGCTTCATTTCCTCTAGAAAGGAATAACGTATATCTCCTAAGCATAATGAAACAGCGAATGAATAAAGGACAATGGCTTTCCACACTGATCGCCGCGACGCATATGCTGAAGTGTATTCCATTCTAAATAAACGTGAAGGAAATTCTTTAAGACAATTTAATAGGCCTATTATTAAGATATTTATTGTCCTCAGACACAAACAGCAGTGGTCTGAACATGAGAGGTGTGATCTGAAAATAGGATGCAAAGCAAATGGGTGGACCGATGAACAAATTCCCGGCACAGATCAACAGCGACACACTGCGTAGTGTGAAAATATCTACAGGCAAAACGTTAAACCCCGTCAGCACACTCATTAAATTTTTAAAGGTTTATTTTAAAGGCACCGTAGTCTACAACTCTTTCAGGATGTTGAAAATGACCATGTAAAATGTGAATAACACAAGGCTCAGGAGCAGACAGAGGCGCCGATATTATGATTTATTTTCTTGCAAGAAGATTCTAGCAAAGGTTTTCCTCAAACTAACAGTTGTGGAAGACAAAGGGAATTAAAAAAAAAAGGAATTTCTATTAAAATATCAAAGGGAGACAATGCAAAAATGCAAAACAGAATCTGTTCTAAAGCATTTTAAGGGCTTAAGTGCATCATCGTCATCATTTCTTTTTTTCTTTTTTTTTTCTTTTTTTTTTTCAGATGTGTTTCCAAGTCACAGTACAGACGGGCAAAATTTAAGGATTAAAACAGACCTTTACCTCTGTACACTCCCCTTCGTCAGACAGGTGCAACATATTAGAATCGATGTCACTCTTCATCAGAGTCCCACAAGCAGGAAGTGTGTTTTCATGATATGAGCTCACAAACTTAAAGTCACTGGTGCGCGAGCCTGTGGTTAGATATGCATCATAATTGTAAGAGCTGCGGAGAGTTCCTGCTCCATCCACATCTGCATAGTTGGGAGGGAGATAGGCGCTGGGAACAGCAACTCATTTACAGAACAGGTCGTAGACAGAGAGGGCTGTCCGTTATCCTTCACCGAAATAACAAGGGTCTGCTTCATATTGTCAGATTCAGAAATGTCTCGTTGTGTTTTGATCTCTCCACTATGGAGACCAATAGTGAACAGTCCTGGATCAGTAGATTTGACAATCTGATAGGACAGCCATGCATTCTGTCCAGAGTCAGCATCTACAGCGATCACTTTGGACACCAGAGAGCCTGAGAGAGTCGCTTTAGGGATCATTTCAGTCATTAAAGACTTTCCATCATGAACAGGGTATAAGATCTGTGGAGAGTTATCATTCTCATCTGTTATGAAGACTTTCACAGTCACGTTACTGCTGAGCGGTGGAGATCCATTGTCTCTGGCAACAACTTTGACAGTGAAGTTTCTGAACTGCTCATAGTCAAATGATCTTACAGCATGAATCACCCCTGTATCTCCATTAATAGATAGAAACAAGGACACTGGGACCCCATTGACTTCACTGGGTACCAGAGAGTACAGTACAGTCCCGTTCTGTCTCCAGTCTGGGTCATTTGCACTGACAGAACAAACAGACGTGCTTGGTTTGTTATTTTCACTTAAATAAACGACATATGTTTGTAACTCAAATGTAGGGGGGTTGTCGTTGATGTCTGAAACTTGTATGTTCAGAGTTATATTGGAGAATAAAGGGGGAGTACCTCCATCCGTTGCTGATATTGTTACATTGTAATTTTCGATTTGTTCCCGATCAAGCGAACGAGTTGTAGTGATAATGAAATAAGATTTGGTGTAAGGCTGTAGTTGAAATGGCAGACTTGTCGAAATGGAACAACTAACCCGGCTGTTTTGACCGGAATCTTGGTCCTTCACGTTTATTACAGCGATCTCTGAACCGGGTGGGATGTTTTCTGGGATTTGTTTTTTCAGAGACTTTACTGATATAACAGGCGCGTTATCATTGACGTCATCTATTTCAATAACAATTTTACAATGGCCTGTCTGACCACCACCATCCTCCGCCTGCACTTCCATCTCGTACGAGGAGGCCTTTTCGTGGTCCAGCTGTCCAATTACAGATATTTCTCCATAATTTTCGTCAATTTTAAACAGTTCTTTCGTATTGTCAGATAGGTGATTGATATAATACGTTACTTGCCCATTTGCGCCCTCATCCACATCGGTCGCAGCAATTTTGATGACAGAAGTTCCAAGTACTGCATTTTCAGATAAACGAGTATTGTAAAAAGGCTGCGAAAATAATGGTGCATTATCATTCACGTCTATCACGAACACTTCAATAACAACTGTTCCAGATTTAGGAGGATTTCCCCCATCCACTGCAGACAATATCAAGGAATGCTCTCCTTTTGTCTCTCTGTCCAGACTGTTTTTCAAAACAATGTCCACATACCTGTCTTTATTTGATTTTGTATCAAGAACAAAATGTTTGTTTTGGCTAAGAATATATGTCTGAACTGAATTCATTCCCACATCCAAATCCCGTGCACGAGCTATTTGTAATTTACTTCCGGTCGGTGCTCCTTCGCTTATCTCCAGCTTAATTGAATCTTTGGGGAAAACAGGAGGGCTGTCATTGATGTCCTGGACTTCCAAAACAACGTTATGAAGCTCTAAAGGATTTTCGAGAGCAAATTCAAAGTGCATGAAGCAGGGGGATGTCGTTCTGCACAGCATTTCTCTGTCGATCCTTTCCGAAACAAAAAGATTTCCAGATTCTAGGTCTACTTCACAGTATCGTTTATCCCCTTGGTAATCCAAACGGGCTTTGCGAATCCTCAAGCGATTAGAATCCAAATTAAGGTCCTTACTCAGACTTCCAATAACATATTTTGTCTTTGTTTCCTCCGGCACAGAATAACGAACATCAGCAGCGGTAACGCAGAAGAGAAGCGATGTTATCCATAATCGCCATTTGGCCAAACACAGTTTAGACGTTTTCGCCATATTTTCTTGATGCAATATAGTAAAGCGTTGTTTCGAAATGCTCTTCACAAACAACTGATTTATTTCGTCGACCGCACTGCTATGTCGGACAAATGTTTACAGAATAGAAAAATACCCACACCAATGGGTGTGTTCTTATGCCCAAAAAAGCAGAGCTAGTCAACAGCGACGCTGTGTGGTTGAATTGAGTTTAGATTTAGTCTGTGAGGTTTAATTCATGGTGTGCAAGTGCTCCATATTTACAGCGATGTTTCTGATAATGTAGCTAGGTTTAAATCCACAGTTTCATTCTAACTTGGTATGTCACAGATAATCCTGAAATAGTATTCTTTCCTAATAGGAAGACCTGGTTAATACAAAACCCTAAATATACACGAAATATTACCGTGGGCTTTTGTTCACACTGTAGATAAACCGCATAAACCAACAGTAGGCCTATCAATATGAGATTACAGTCTTTCTTTTAATTTAGAGCATTTATGCCAGCTACATACGCCACAAACTGGCGAATGTTTTCAGCACCATGGACAGCACACTCCGTGTAGTCGCGGGACTGCTGGAATAGAAAGTCCGACTGCAGATTTAGGCAATAATGTCCGTAGAATGAAATTTGACTCGGTAAAGTATTCTACATTCAATATACGGAAGTGAAATTATAAATTAAATGTTAAATAAAATAGAGTATACATAGTTTAAAAATATAAAGAAGAAGAAAAGTATGATTGAGAAGTCAATGTACTACATTTGCTATCTGGTAAAATGGAAACAGCCTTTTTCTGCTGTATTGAACTTGAACTGCACACATCTGGTATCCTGCGTAACAGTCAGCAGACTGACGTACATTTAAATAGAAAATTTCCAAGTTCAATGCCTCGCTTTGTTGTTGTTGTGTGTGTGTGTAATGTTCGAATCAAATGCGATCCGAAAGATGGCAGTTTCAATGCATACATTATTATACTCCACTATTGTATTATATTTACACTCAAAATCTTGCCGTTCAAGCTTTTCATTTCTCGTTACTTCAAATTATTTCCGACCCAAACATAACTTAATCCTACTATTTCACTCCTTGGAGAACAATAGCGGCAGTTTGTTTCAGAAGAGTTATGATTTTTGCAGGTGGAACGTTCAGGTCCATTTGAATAGTCACCGAAATTATATTTTATATTTTAATTACAATTATATTTTTAGCACAGACGATGAAAAAAAAATTAATAGAGAATATTATTCAAGCCAATGCTGTTACTGTGTTACTAACAATACAGACAGACAAAATAAAAACCACAGATAAATCTCCAATACTTATGAAAGAAAACTTTATTTGTGATTTATAAACAAAACACATTACCAGATTTCATAAAGTAATATAAAATAATAAACACCATTACACTGATGAGCAGGTGTACAAAAAAATTGTCCAACAGATTTGCACTGTCAAAGTCAAAAGCATAGTGCCACTTAGGCACTGGATGAATTAATATATAATTACTACACACAAGCAGAATACATATACCTTTTTATTTCCTGTTTTATCATTTTTGATTTTTTTCTTTTTCTTTTTTTTTTTCTTCTTTTGAAGGAAGAAGTTTTTATTATAGGGAAGTATGAACTGGCTCACATTACAGTGTTATTGATTTCAAAGCCTAGCACAAAACGAAGGATTTATCCTTTCACGTTGCAAAAATCATAAGGTTGTAAAGAAAAGCAATTTAGACCATAACACTACAGCATTACATATACCTAGAATGTTAACATTGATCACCACAGAGCCGACATGGTTGCGGTGTCTTTTTTTTTTACGCTCGATGTGTGTGCAGAGACAACCAGTTCCATCAGAAATGAGAAAAAAAATAATTATGAAAAACATATCTGTTCATTTATATCATTTATATCTTTCTGTTTTAATTGCGTCTAACATGCAAAACAGTCACTTGGTGATCTGACAGCACTGAACCACATCTGAAAGAGACTCAAGTGAAAGTGTGTGTGTATATGTATGTGTTTGTGTGTGTGCTTTGTGATGATACGGTCTCATAGCAGCACGAACATCTCTCCTTTACTGAACAGTATCTCTACAGACTTAGAAGGGAAAGAAAGGACAGATGCGCTCCCTCTTAAAAACAGAAAATTTAAGCATGATGTCTGAATGTTAAGAAAACATTCCCATTATTTACAAAATTTTAATCAACATCTATGGAACTGTCATGAAGCTATATCTCATCATTGATTATATACAGTAGAAAAACTCTGTACTGCCCACAACTGTGGTCTTCTCACTCTAATCTCCACTCAACCTCTATTTTTGCCCTAGAAAGCACCATACCCTGTAGTTAAACATGTCCAAAAGCATGGCTGCATAGTCCATGGTGGTTCAACTGCTGTGAGAGCATAAACACTGGTGTGTGTGTGTGGCATAAACACTGTGTGTGCATGTAGGGGCCAGTACCTGTGCTTATGTTTCCAGCAGAAGAAGTGACAATAATATTGGCTTGAATTTTCTGCTCTTTCTTGTCACATTGTACAATACGAGCCACCAGGGGGCAGTACTGACATGGGGCCAGCAATGCACACCAGATAAAGGGAGGTTGGCAACATCAGATATGCGAAAGTTACAAGCAGTAGCTAAGGGCAAGTAGCTGGACTAAGACATAAAGCTGTCAAGAAGTGGGATGACATCTATCAAACATTAAAAACAGCAGCAAAGGAAGTGGGTGTGTTTTGAAATGAAGCCACAAGTATTCATTCTGCTATTTTACAGACTTTTGAGAGGCTGTTGTGCTTCAGTCCTGTGGTGATTTTAGGTGTACAGCATGTGGACAGCCTGTTCATAGTGTGTTATGCATTAGAGAGCAAGAACACACATCAATTTGTGATTTGTATTCATACAAATCATGGGCGTGCATGATTTTGGACTGTATAAGATGAGATTTACTTGCTCTTAGAAAATATACTGAGTAAAGCATCATTCTGAGATTTCAGCATTACTTTGGGAGCAGGACAGAAGCACTAGAGATCTCTGTGCCCTGTTCTAGGACGTATTTGTGAGTGTAAAGCAAGTGATTTCGCTACTACATTTCCATCTCTGTAGGCGTCTATTTTTGATCTCCTCTAGAAATCAGACACTGGTCTTTCTGATAAAGTTGTAGTGTCTTTTTGTTTCCAGCGGATCAAGGAGTGAGGCGGGGCCAGGGGTGGTTGTTTCTTCCCCATTTGACATTGAGGGAGGAAGGCAGGGATGGAGTTAGAGAAAACTCTTGGTATGGCATGAGTTCATATCCAGTTTAACTGGATTCATTTGATACTTTTAAAAGAGGAGAGGGACTTTCCTCATCGTGGTTGAAAATGTCATTTACAAGGTGCAAGGCCTGATTTGAATTTTGCAGACTGGAGTTCTTTCTTGGACATCACTGATTAATTTCTGCACCAGAACTAGAAAAATAGCCAATCAGAGTAACAGGTTCACAGGGTTAATTTTAAATTTCTCTTCTTTCTTCAACTGGAATTGGTAAATAAGGTATATAGAAGGAATTTCTCCTCTCTTTACATTTTCAGTATTTTTGGTTTTCTCTTTCTGTCAGCATTTGCTACAAACATAAGTTAATAGCTGTAATATTGTAGTGGGACGTTCTTTGCTACTCCTCGCCATCATCTTTTCCTTTATCTTTCTTGTCCTTCTTTTCCTTCTTCTTCTTTTTCTTCTTCTTAGACTCCTCTTTCTTTCCGAAGGTGATGAACTCACCCTTATCATCAACGGCACCTGGGTCCTGCCGGATGGAGATGATGGCAGGAGAGCCGGGAATAATGAAGGCTTCAGGGGGGATCTCTCCCGGCTTCAGGGCTTGTGGAGGACCGTAGCCGGGGCCTGCACCGTAGCGGAAGCTCCAGCTGTTACTGTTGATTCCAGCTCCAACAGGAGGGGACAGCTGTCCCTCTAAATCTCCAATACTTATGAAAGAAAACTTTATTTGTGATTTATAAACAAAACACATTACCAGATTTCATAAAGTAATATAAAATAATAAACACCATTACACTGATGAGCAGGTGTACAAAAAAATTGTCCAACAGATTTGCACTGTCAAAGTCAAAAGCATAGTGCCACTTAGGCACTGGATGAATTAATATATAATTACTACACACAAGCAGAATACATATACCTTTTTATTTCCTGTTTTATCATTTTTGATTTTTTTCTTTTTCTTTTTTTTTTTCTTCTTTTGAAGGAAGAAGTTTTTATTATAGGGAAGTATGAACTGGCTCACATTACAGTGTTATTGATTTCAAAGCCTAGCACAAAACGAAGGATTTATCCTTTCACGTTGCAAAAATCATAAGGTTGTAAAGAAAAGCAATTTAGACCATAACACTACAGCATTACATATACCTAGAATGTTAACATTGATCACCACAGAGCCGACATGGTTGCGGTGTCTTTTTTTTTTACGCTCGATGTGTGTATGTAATCAGTGTATGTTTGTGTATGAATAATTTGATTAATGTCTACATACTTCAGCAGAGACAATACACATCTCCAGTTCCATCAGAAATGAGAAAAAAAATAATTATGAAAAACATATCTGTTCATTTATATCTATATATAATTTCTGTTTTAATTGCGTCTAACATGCAAAACAGTCACTTGGTGATCTGACAGCACTGAACCACACCTGAAAAAGACTCAAGTGAGAGAGAGTGTCTGTGTGTGTGTGTGTGTGTTTTGTGATGATATGGTCTCACAGCAGCACAAACATCTCTCCTTTACTGAACAGTATCTCTACAGACTTAGAAGGGAAAGAAATGAGAGATGTGCTCCCGCTTAAAAACAGAAAATTTAAACATGATGTCTGAATGTTAAGAAAACATTCCCATTATTTACAAAATTTTAATCAACATCTATGGAACTGTCATGAAGCTATATCTCATCATTGATTATATACAGTAGAAAAACTCTGTACTGCCCACAACTGTGGTCTTCTCACTCTAATCTCCACTCAACCTCTATTTTTGCCCTAGAAAGCACCATACCCTGTAGTTAAACATGTCCAAAAGCATGGCTGCATAGTCCATGGTGGTTCAACTGCTGTGAGAGCATAAACACTGGTGTGTGTGTGTGGCATAAACACTGTGTGTGCATGTAGGGGCCAGTACCTGTGCTTATGTTTCCAGCAGAAGAAGTGACAATAATATTGGCTTGAATTTTCTGCTCTTTCTTGTCACATTGTACAATACGAGCCACCAGGGGGCAGTACTGACATGGGGCCAGCAATGCACACCAAATAAAGGGAAGTTGGCAACATCAGATATGCGAAAGTTACAAGCAGTAGCTAAGGGCAAGTAGCTGGACTAAGACATAAAGCTGGCAGCAAGTGGGATGACATCTATCAAACATTCAAAACAGCAGCAAAGGAAGTGGGTGTTTTGTGAAATGAAGCCACACGCATCCATTCTACTATTTTACAGACTTTTGAGAGGCTGTTGTGCTTCAGTCCTGTGGTGATTTTAAGTGTACAGCATGTTGACAGCCTGTTCATAGTGTATTATGCACTAGGGAGCAAGAACGCACATCAATTTGTGATTTGTATTCATACAAATCATGGGCGTGCATGATTTTGGACTGTATAAGATGAGATTTACTTGCTCTTAGAAAATATACTGAGTAAAGCATCATTCGGAGATTTCAGCATTACTTTGGGAGCAGGTCAGAAGCGTTAGCGATCTCTGTGCCCTGTTCAAGGGCGGTTTTGTGAGTGTAAAGCAAGTGATTTCGCTGCTACATTCCCATCTCTGTAGGCATTTATTTTTGATCTGCTATAGAAATCAGACACTGGTCTTTCTGATAAAGTTGTAGTGTCTTTTTTTTTCTTTTACAAAGTTTTGATTCCAGCAGATCAAGGAGTGAGATGGGGCCAGGGGTAGTTGTTTCCTCCCCGTCTGACGTTGAGGGAGGAAGGCAGGGATAAAGTTAGAAAAAGCTCTAGGTATGGCATGAGTTCATATCCAGTTTAACTGGATTAATTTGATCCTTTTAAAAGAGGAGAGGGACTTTCCTCATCGTGGTTGAAAATGTCATTTACAAGGTGCAAGGCCTGATTTGAATTTTGCAGACTGGAGTTCTTTCTTGGACATCACTGATTAATTTCTGCACCAGAACTAGAAAAATAGCCAATCAGAGTCACAGGTCCACAGGGTTAATTTGCGATTTTTATGTTTGTGTGTACAGCACAAACTCTATTCTTTCTTAAACTGTAATTGGTAAATAAGGTATATAGAAGGAATTTCTCCTCTCTTTACATTTTCAGTATTTTTGGTTTTCTCTTTCTGTCAGCGTTTGCTACAAACATAAATTGATAGCTGTAATATCGTAGTGGGATGTTCTTTGTTACTCCTCGCCATCATCTTTTCCTTTATCCTTCTTGTCCTTCTTTTCCTTCTTCTTCTTTTTCTTCTTCTTAGACTCCTCTTTCTTTCCGAAGGTGATGAACTCGCCCTTATCATCAACGGCACCTGGGTCCTGCCTGATGGAGATGATGGCAGGGGAGCCAGGAATGATGAAGGCTTCAGGGGGGATCTCTCCTGGCTTCAGGGCTTGTGGAGGACCATAGCCGGGGCCTGCACCGTAGCGGAAGCTCCAGCTGTTACTGTTGATTCCAGCTCCAACAGGAGGGGACAGCTGTCCCTCTCCCTCCCCATCTGAATGAGAAAAATTACAATAATTAGATTGTATCATCATTACTTTCCTCATATAAATTGAAGGGGTCCTATTATGCTCTTTTACAATGTCTTGATTTTGTTTTGGGGGTGAACTAGAACATGCTATCATGCTTGGTGGTTCGAAAAACGCATTATTTTTCACATCATTTACATTATTAAAATACCTTTCTCCCCAGCCTGGCACAAACGGTTCAATTAGTTCCAGGTTTGATGAAGGCCCACCTACCGAAAAACGAAATGTGTTGTGATTGGTTAGCTGTCCCACTGCGTTGTGATTGGCGAACAGCTTAGACCAGTACTGCCACGCCCCTTGCCAAAGCAGCAAGTTCCGGATGGCATCTACTAGTAGAATTATTTTTTATATATTTTTGGGGAGACAAAAATGTCAGAGTGATGCAACTGTCCTAATATAATAATAATAATAATAATAATAATAATAATACATTTTTGTTAAAGAATAAAATTCCTGAACTGAAAAAGTTTGGCATATAATTTTAAAGTATTATTATTATTATTTTTTTTAGAATAAAATACTTGAGTTGGGAAAAGTAACATGTTAATTTCTGTGATTAATATTTGCTGTGTTATTTAAGGGTTGATGTTGATGATGTTGTTGTTTTTTTGTTTTTTTATTTTTTTATAAATCGGCAGTCCTAAAAAGCATCTTCACTGCTTAATAATATTTGCAACACTTTTTGTCACGGAACCAACAAAGTCATGTGATGAAATCAACATTATGAAAAAATATATATATAGAAAAGAGAGACCCTTGTAACTGTGTGTCAAAGTCAATAAAGCTCTAAAAATATCAGATAATTTGAGTTTGTCATGACAAGGTGGGATTAGTTGCGGTTTTAAAATGTAATATGGTGTGACTCCCCAGAAACTATTTATAAATAATATATGTATTATTAATAATTCATGATATGTGAAAAATAAATAAATAAATACATGTTATTCCTTTTTACTTCATGGTTACACCACATAACAAGAGTCACTGCATTTAAACTTAAAAACACTTCATTTCTAAGAATGTGGCACATGTGTTTTTATAATATAATATAGATCAACTTTCTTTCTTGGTATGCCAAAAAATCTGCATCAAAACCATGACTGGAGAAGAATGTTTGGTTTTCTTTATTTAACACTGATCTAAACCTACAAGTAATACACACAGAGAGAGGGACACTGTATCACTCTGGAGTGCACTTTCATACAATGTTCATGTTTGAAAGTGTACCACCCCAACAGGGACAGAGAGCTGAGTCTGGAGTGAGAGACTTATGTACTACTTTCCCTACAGAAGCAGGGCTCTTTGCCACACCAGTTCCTCTATGACCTTCTTTCATTTCTGTGTTTTATTTAGATCTCACCATGGCCATGAAATGCAATTTTGTTTGTTTTTGATCTGTACGTTTATTATGACAGTACCGCACAGCTTATTTCAATAAATGCAAAACCTAGCAGGGATTATCCATTTTGATATTCTTTCCTCTGCTTAAATGAATCTGCATGGGTGGATTGTGTGTCTATGCGTGTGTGCAACAACTGGAATAAATTTGGAATCCTTCTCCTGCTCAGTTTCAGACACATGTCTAAATTCAGACATGTCAAATCCTGCCATTAATATGCAAACTGCTCTTTTTTTCTGTGGCAACTGATCCATTATGTATAACTGCTCAAATTCTTGACCATCCTAAAAATATACCACCTCTCCATCCATACAAAACACTCATGGTACACATACGGTACAGAAAAGAGTCAATGAGGGAGTGTTTGCATGCAAACATTCACAGAACCACTGTGTGCCGCCCCTTGGGCTTGACAGATCACATTTGGCTGAGAAGGTCAGAAATTGTGGTTTAGAGTAGTAGCATTTACTTGCAGAGTGGCCAGATCTCTAGTGAGAGAGTAACTCATGTGTTCATGTCATCTCCCTGTGACTTTTATTATGGCAGCAATATCAGTGCATGTGTGTGTCTGTTTGTTAAGTTTCATGTCAGAGCAGGTCAACTGAGCAGACTAGTTCTCGTCCTCATGAGACTAAAGAGAAGATCAGCAGAGTGGAGCCGGAAGCAACAGTCTAAAACTGACTTTCATTGCATTTCTCTCTTTGTTGTACAGGTCAGTGACAAATAAGTGTCCACATTAAAAAAAAAAAAAGTTTTAAACATGCTAAATTCTTAAAAAATGTTGTATTCATATAGTTTTGAAAAACTTTTGTACAATTTTCAAGAACTTTTAATTTAATGACTCTAAAAATAAAAAAGTACTAACATGTTTTGTTCTTCATATTTCTGTTTGTTGGTTGCACCACATGACTTTGATTCTGCAAATGTTTTTTGGGAAAGAAATAAAATAAAAGATTGTGCCAAAATAGTTGTATATGCTGTGGCTTGATATTCCGTCAAGATTGTGATAGATTTTAGCTTGTTGATTTTCTTTGCCTTAATTGTGCCCCAAGAGGGTATTATGGTCATTAGATGGTTTAGATTTAGTATCCAATTGTTCAAAATTATAATTTTTCCTTTTAAATAATATAAAATATTATGAATCTTTTTTGTTTGTTTGTTTGTTTGTTTCATAAATCAATGCTATTGGTCACCCTTTATGTCTGTCGGAGGGTTTTACAAAAATGTGGCCAATGAAAAGTTTTTAAAAGAGCTTGTGACTAAACCCTGTAACTTCACGGGATCCTCAAACTGTCAGTAAAATCCACCCCACATGCAGCTGTTTTAAGTTTTTATAAACCTCACAATTTTTTGTAAAATGTTAATAATATGACACATGCATATCAAATTTGTTTTGATTCATGGTAATTTTTGGGCATTTGAAGCTTATACCTGACAGCAACGATATAGAGCAGCATTACGTATTGTATTGCTTGTCAGTGCAGCCAGATAAATGTATGCATTAAAAGACAAATATGTGATCTAATACGCATTCACCTGTTAGATGCATATGTGCTACTTTTTGTGCTATTTTTGGTCCTTACAGGCCTCCGGTCCTTATTTTTTCCTATGATGTTTCTAACTCTCTTTTTCTCTTCCTCTCCATTCCCGGTCCACACCTTGCTCGTTCTTCCATTTTGAGTACGGCTGGTTGCCATGGAAACCTCCTCCCCCACCCCCGCTCGCCCACTCCCAGCTGCTCCTGTTGCAGTATCTAAGATTCATTGTTGTTGCCTGGCAACAAGTCATGCAGTGTTTCCTAGCAACAGGACCACCGGAGGGGTCTGCCGATTCTGAACCTCTGTGCATCTCCAACCCCCACATCCCCACTCTTCTCTTTCAGCATCCCTCTCATTCTATCATCTCTTTCCTCATCTATTACTTGCCGTCTCTCTGCATCCCACATGCTTTATCTTTTAAACGACTCTCATTATAGCATCCTCATATATCTTGTGCTTTCTACGTCACATTCATCTGTGTCTCATTTTCCTGCTTGGCCTCTTTTCTGCTCCTCCTGTTCCCATGACCTCAACCGTGTTGTAATTTACAAGCACTAAACCAGCGCTTACACAACACACCTGCGTTGCCTCAATAACACAACATTAGCCTGCTAATAATCACTATTTAGTAGGACAACTAGACTGGTTTTCATAAGTCTATCAGATTTACAGTGTGTAGTTCATCCTTCTGCTTCGCCTCTCTGCAGGTTGCTAATAAAGAATCAATGGATTTCTCTTTCTTCTCTCCTCTTTTCTTTTTTTGCCTCTCTCGATCTGTCCCACTTACTCTATCCGTTTCTTCCCGCTGTCTGCCGTCATTCCAGTTCAGCTCTGCTCTATCAGCCAGTCAATATCTCCACCATCCACCACTCAGGAGACCTGCCACTCTTCTTTCATTCCTCTAATGGCACATTAGATTGACCGTCCTCTGTCTATGGCTGATCTTTGAGGAGAAGCATATCTCAGTAATGCAAATCCAATAACCCCAAATAGGCCTCTTGCATCACAATATTTAGATACTTTGGTTCTTAACTTCAGCAGAGTAAATGAAAGATGCCATTCAAGCACATTGGGCTGGTATTCTGAAGCTAAATTCGGTTGTCAATTTACCTTTTAATGCTTAATCCTGTTCTGTACACACACAGTTCAGTAATTTATGGGAGTGACAACATCATTCTACAACTGAATTAACTAAAAATAATAATCAGGTAGTGACAACCGCATTTACAGAAATTCTACTGGGGTGCATTTCCCAAAAGCATCATTAGCCAACTATTGTCTTACATTCCGTCGTTTTCCAACATAGTTCAATGATTCAGTGTTTCCCAAAACCATATTTGAAACAAACATTCACAAACAGCATTGCAAACCTGTGTGGTTGGAACTACAGCTCTCAACCTGTGGTTAGAAGCATAGTTTCTTCTTAATATGACATGTGACAAATTATGTTTTAAGATTTATTTTTGGCGTTTTTTCTTTTATTGTTATAGGACAGTATTTAGACAGGAAGCGAAGTGGGAAAGTGAGGGATGGGATCGAGAAAGGTCCGCGAGCTGGGACCCAAACTCGGGACACCCGAAGCGCAATGGTGCTATATTGGCACCGACCAATCTATATATTTTAAATATGATGCATATATATACATATTTGAATCTATATGTTTTAGCTTGTCCTTAATAAGTGGCATTTTTGAAGAGTGGCATGTGCATAAATGCGTAAGGAACGTATGACGGAAGAGGGAACCGTGATGAATCAAACTTAAAATAAAGCAAAATGGAAAAGAACAAAAATAGTGAAGTAGTCATCTGCTGCAATGTTCATTACAGCAGCATCTCAGAAATCTTGAATCGATGAATTAGTAGGAAGTTATTAGTCTACCACGTGCACATGTTGTCATTAACGACCGCCCTATATTGTTGAACCAACATGTTCAGGAAACAGTTCATTTCCACAACAATGCATCGTACTATGGTGGTTAAGCAGCGAGTTGTACACTGTCAATGTTGCACAATGTTGTTGTAGGGGAAATGCAACCCCTGAACAACTAGTTGTTAATAACATAATCAGTTGTGTCACTCTTCTGTATGCATGGCGCAAGAAATCTGGAACTAGATAAGCAAATAAGAACAAGCCCATAGTAAATTCAAACGCTCTATCTTGGAAATAAGCCACATACCAAAATATCATAACCTGCACTTGCCAACTTTATTGCCTCCATAAATCGGATCGCTTTATGAGCCAAAAGAAGCATAATACGTGTTGCTTAAAAAAAAAAAAAAAACTGCTGGCTCTGTTGACGGTGGTTTAGTTCAAAATCACGAAACATAAATCACCAAACGAGTCTTTGGTCATTGTAATATCACTTTGGTCAAAAATAGCGGATACCAAACATGTGAGACGCCAGAACGTTACTTTAGTTACCATGGTGTCAATCATCGCAATTTCAAGAGAGAGTTCTGTTCCGAACACACAAAATGATAATTTAGAGGATTCACTCCCAAATTTGAATGCGGTTGTCACTCCTGAAAATTTACAGTGTGTGCTTGGCCATTGTGCGCTTACCCAAAATAAACATTGTGTCAACTAATGATTATGTCGCCTAATTATGTGTTTAAATGAAGTATTTGAGGGACACCACTAAATTACAAATGAAATCCTGTCATGGTAAGACTGGCCTTGATACTTCAATACTTGTTAATAAAGAATGGACTTCTATGGAAGAAGAGAAGGAAATTATGGTAGTAGATCTATGAGAATGACACACCACAGAGCACAGCAAGTCATTGTCTGGATTGCTAGTTGCAGGAAGTCTGAAAAAAATTATGGGAAAGCTCAAGCCAGACTTGCAGACTTGTTCACTGTCATTTTGGATCTTGGGAACAGTATTGCAATACAAAGAAACAACGCAAAGTACATTCTGTACTTGGATTGAGGATCTTTCAGGGCATGCAAGACTGTAAAAGAGCAAGAAGAGGACAGAGAGAGAGGAAAAGCTGACATTTTTGGATGAATATACCTAACCTGCTGTAAATAGGTTGTTTTAAAGGGGTCATATGATGCAATTTCAAGTTTTCCTTTCTCTTTGGAGTGTTACAAGCTGTTCGTGCATAGATAAGATCCCTAAAGTTGCAAAGACAAAAGTCTCAAACCCAAAGAGATATTCTTTATAAAAGTTAAGACTCGTCCACGCCCTCCTAAAACGCCTCGTTTAAACACACCCCCACATGTCTACGTCACTGTGTGGGACAATTTGCATAACACCACCCAAATGTTCACACAAAGAGAGAAGGCGTAACTTTGATTCTCGCTGTAGTATTGTTGCTGCCGCAGCCACCATGTCGTGGAGATGCTGTGTGTTTCGCTGTGAAAGCGAAACTACTTTGTTTGGCCTTCCAAAAGAGGACACAACTAGAAATCAGTGGTTAAGTTGTATTTACAACACTGTTCCAGAACAGTTCAAACCAAATATTCAGATGTGTGCAACGCATTTAACGGAGGACTGTTTCCTGAACCTACAATGCCAGCGATTCTGACTCACAACCTATAAGTATGTTTCCATATTTAAAGCCACTGATGAATTTGCCACTGATGATTCAAACGCGAGTTTGTTTGTCGTTTCTCCGATCACAAATGCAGACAAATGGTTTTATGTTTACGCGGCACGATGCACGATACGCAACGCAACGCGTAAAAAGACCATATAAGTCATTATAATCCGTAATTATGTCCCCACTGGATGCAACAAATGCCTAGTTTATAATGGGTTTTATTGGTTTTGACTCGTCGTGCCGGGACACGGCATCACAGTATGGTAAGGGGCGTAACATTTCCGTCACACACTTGAGGTATTCGGCCAATCACAACGCACTGGAGCACTGGAAAAATCGACGCATTTCAGAAAGGCGGGGCATAGAGGAGCAACAATAATGTACATTATGTGGAACCTTAAACCACATAAACACATTGCATTACACCAAATACACAAAATAATGTTATTTTTAGCAACGTCATATGACCCCTTTAAACATTAATGAATCCATGTCAGTTTGAATCAGTTTCAAATTGGGTCAAAAGTTTCAGTCGGTTTTGATTTATTCCTAAGATTCATTACAAGAAATCCAGAATCACCATATACATTAGGCATATTAATTAAAACAGATGTAATAGGTTGATGAACATGATAATTTGGCTAGAGTGAAAATTACTAGATTAGCAAGAGCATGAAGTTTTGCGAGAAGATGGAGTCATTGGTTTCGGATGATTAAGATTTAATTACACTGCGGATGTCTTTAAGATGTGACCTCACCTGCTGCACTGGAGACTGTGGGCCAGTTCTGGACCAGCATGCCTTGCGCTCCCTGCATCACAGCTGATGCCTCCTCCATATGCACAGAACTACAATCAAAATCAATTAGCATGTCATTAGTCTTGAAATATCACACACAAGCATTTGAGCAATTTTTTTTTAAATATCACACAAGCAATTTTTTGAGTGCTATTAAAAATACACAGAGAAAATGTTCAATAAAACTGATTCGAAAAATATTTCACATTAAAATACGGCTTCGCTTTTGGGCTGTGAAAGTAAATAAGATGTCTGAGGGGGACAGTTGTGTTATGTGTCAAGAGTTGCTGTGTTCGCATATATATTTATGGTGAAAGTACATGTGACAGAGTGTGCTAGACTATCTGTGATCTAATGTGTCTGTGCGTGAGGTTATGTGTGTGCGACATGCGAGCTGTCATGATGGTGTCATGATGGTTTAACTCCTTCAGACATGTTGACTGAAAAGCACATTGATAGAGTGTCTAAATATATACAGGAAAGAAGGCAGAAAGATGTACAAGATGATACAAAAATGACCTCTTATCATTAATATTAAAAGTATATTGTAAATATAAAAGATATATTTTCAAGTATATTTTAGATACATTTTAAAATCCACATGACTACTTGTTTTACTCGAGTAGCAACATTAGATGAGGTGTTAAGATTTGTATCATGAATGTAAAATACCTTTCAAAGTTTGGGGTCGTTAGGATTTTTTTATGTTTTTGAAAGAAGTCTCTTATGCTTACCAAGGCTGCATTTATGTGATGAATACAGTAAAACAGTAATATTGTGAAATGTTATTGCACTTTAAAATAACTATTTTCTATTTAAATATATTTTCAAATGTAATTTATTCCTGTGATGAAAATATGAATTTTCAGCAGTCATAAATCCAGTCTCAGTCATTAATCCAGTCTTCAGTGTCACTTCGTGATCCTTCAGAAATCATTCTAATATGCTGATTTGGTGCTCAGAAAATCGTATTGTTATTAATTATTATTATTAACAATGATGAAAACAGTTGTGCTGCTAAATATTTCGTGGAATTTGTAATGTATAGTTATTATTTCAGGATGTTTTGATGAATAGAAATGTCAAAATAACAGCATTTATGTGAAATATAACTCTTTTGTAACATTAGAAATGTCTTTACTGTCACTTTTGATCAATTTAATGCATTCTTGCTTGTTTTTAACTAGTTTATGTTGATGCCTAAAACAAGTGAAAGAAATATGCCAAAAGACAAAATAAATGTGTATCAAAGATGCATTACTCATAATATCTTACTGAGTATTTTAAATAAATGTATCCTGTTTCTAGGGTTTTTATTTTAACTGCAAAATAAATGTTACGAATATAATTTTTTTGCAGTGTAGGAATGATGAAGAAACAGGGAAATGAAGAAATGTGAAAAGAAAGATGATATAAAAGTGAAAGTGTTCAAAGAGAAAAATATGTGGCTTGTATGGAAATATATTACCATTTCAGCACCGCTCTACTCTTGCCCATTTCGTAATCTGATTTCCCCTAATACATGGTTTAGTTACTTTACCATCTTTATCTTCCCTCCATTCCTCTCTCCATTTCTCTCTCTTGGACTGTCAGCAGGCCATGCATAATATAAGCCTGGGAATTTGTTGTAGACAGTTGAAGATGTAGTATGTACTTAAAATTTCAACAAATACCACGCTACACCCTAGAGCTGTGCATATGCATTAAAAAGCATTACGTTAAAAGGACATTTCATTTCCTATATACACTTTCCAGCGACGGCCTTTGGCTTTCAGCATGGCTCTGTGTGTTTATCACCATGGAAACTACGATCAGACAAGCACCCATACAGAGCAAGACTGTGAATTTTGCCACAGCACTCCTATACATCCATTATAAATGTACAGACATGAGGAGCAGAAAGGAAGTGGGTATAGAAGGGCATCTGCAATGCAGCACAGGGTGTGCCCAGCCTGCTACAGCTCCCTTAACTCTGATCCAGTGTGAGTGTGTTAGCATGATGGATCTTTCTAATTCCCTTGAAGCTGAAATGCGCCCGTGCCTTTTGGCAGAATGAATCAGTAACTTTCTAGCCTAAGGAGAGGCTTGTTGATTGAGGGGTGTGGATTTAAAGCCACTGGAGAGGAGGTTTGGATACTCGAGGTGTTTGGAATAAGTCTGAATGAAAAGGAAGTATGACAGAGAGTTATTCAGGAATTAGTCATCTTAATTTTTGGTTCATTGAGGGTCAATTAAAAGTTATGAATACATAATGTAAATCTAAGGCAATAATAATAATAATAATGTAACTTAATGAATTTACAGAAAGCTTTAAAGATCATCTCCTGAAATTAAACTACATGTAATTGTTGAAATTGAAATAATTAATTTAATTAAGGATGTGCAAAATACATTATCGTTCAGAAGTTTGGGGTTGGTAAGATTTTTGTTTTTGAAAGAAGTCTCTTATGCTCACCAAGGCTGCATTTCTTTGATCAGACATATAGTAAAAACTGTAATATTATAAAAATATTATTAGAATTTACAATAACTGTTTTCTATTTGTATATATTTTAAAATGTAAATTTTTTTTTTTGTTATAATAAAGCTGGATTTTCGTCAGCCATTACTCCAGTCTTCAGTGTCACATGATCCTTCAGAAATCATGCTAATTTTACGCTCAAGAAACATTTCTGCTTAGCAGCAGGACACATTTATTTGAAATATAAATATTTTGTAACATTATAAATGTGTTTACTGTCACTTTTGATCAATTTAATGCATTCAATTTAATGCACAATATTAAAATCCTTTGATTTATTGGCATCAGTCGATACTGGCTATTCAATTTTGCATGCTTATTTCTCCGTTTTTTTAGATTTAAATATACTGTATATCACGATAATATCACTTTTACCTTCATCTAATGCTCACTTTAAAAACACTAATATTTTAATAACACTGTAGCAAATTTGTATAATTGAATAGCAAATCTCAAAATTAATATTCTGTGCATTATTATGTTGTGATGCCTAAATTAACTTTTCACTAAATTGACATTCAAAATGATTGATTTTCAATTTTAGTGTTTTATTTTTTATTTATTTAGACAAAACCGTATAGAATTTTAATATATGCCATTTATCCGTTATCGAACATAACATATTCAGCTTATAATAATAATCTTATCTGACAGAATTAGTATTGAATTTAATACTGGTGCATATCTAAAGTTTTTTTTAGTATGCAAAGTTGTACTATGTTTATATGGTGTTCTAAGTGGCTCAGTGAAATTCCATCTAATTTGTCCCCTGTGTATAATGTTACCTGTGCCCCTTTTTGCACCAGCCTTCAGTCATAGAAAACCACATAAAACACGCGCATAAACGCACAAAACCATCCCCGGAGATGAGCCCACAGGGTAGCACAAATTTATCACATAAAACAGACAGTCCTTCACCCTTTGGAAACTGTAAGTGTGTGGTGCTTAGAAGAGGGGGCCTTGTCTCCAGATGTTAGTGTGTATGTGGGTATGTGTAAAGAGTTAGAGAATAAAGATTTTGCATTTCAGAGATGACTCATTTTGTCAGTATTTATGCATTGAAATGCTCCCCCTGAGATTTGAATTTCTTGCTTATGGGGTGTGGGTAAGCTCACACAATCAGCTCATCTGCTAGCTTGTCTTTTATGCTTGGTTGTGAAGGACTGTGCATCTGCTGTGGAGAATGCTGATGACCTACATACTCAAGATCAGACTGCAGAGCCACTATGCCAGGGAAAGGCCCTTAGCAAACGCTTCAAAGCTTGTGTTTGTGCGTGATGAAGACAGACAGAGCACAGTTGGTCCACAGAGGAAGAGGCAAGAGGTCAGGAAAAGTCAGCGAGCTCCTGGTGGTCATGATTCTGGTGTTTGAATGAGGCTCTATTATAGATACTGCAGACAGAAGAACTGACAGTCTTTCCATTTTACTAATTGGCTACTTGTAATTTCTTATTCCACTCTCTTTTGTTGAATTTGTTCAACAGCAAACATATACAGAGAGAGACAAATTTAGCATACCTATTATGCGATATCATGTGGTTGTGGAATGGAATCTAATATTTTTCTCAATTGCATTGCAACCTTGTAATCAAGAAATACACAAGGGGAAATATATTGGACGACAGAACAAGTTTAAAATAGCTTAATACAATACAAGTAAATTTGTAGTGCATCAGATTTTATGAACTGAACAATATGAGTAATGCTTTTTCAGTAAGTTGTATGCCAGTGCTGTTATTGTTAACGGAAACTAAAACAACTAAAATTGTTTTCATTAATTGAAATAAAGCTATAATAAAATAAAACGTAAATATTAGATGAAAATTCTAAACTTAAAAACATAAACAAAAATTAGAAATTTTGCTTTGGCAAAAAAACAAAAACATGTTTAAGTACATGTACATATTTAAGAAAAATATAATAATAATAATAATAATAATAATAATAATAATAATCATCATAAAAATAAGTTAAATAGAAATATGAATTAATATTTTAAACTAGCATAACAGAATTACTGGAAAAAAAATAATAAAAAAATAAATAAAAGGTAATTCTAAATATTAATAAATACCATAGTAGTAAATTAATAATACTAAAATAAAAAACTATAAATTATGATAAAAATAAAATTACATTTGTATTTAAATATTACAATTGAACATTAATCAATGAACAATAGCATACTTATAAATAAAGAAAAAAATCATTAACCTAGATTATTTAATTCTAAATGGGTTTCATTGTTACTTTATGGTCAGCTTTATGGTACCTAAAGCATTATCTAATGTTACAAATCGAACTTAACTGGAAAAGTGTTATCAATATTTTTTATAAAGAGTTAAATAATTCTTTGTTTAATGAAAACCATTTGAAACATTTTATGTAAAGTATAATATTTTGAGGATGCTTTTTAGATTCTGCTCTCCCTTCAATTTGATTAAGTTCAAAAAAGATGGTTTCCTGCTAAATTACATTGAGGGTCAGGATTTGATTATTGCCCGTCAGGAAATGTGGAAATTAGAGCTGGACATGATTCACGGTGCTTTTACACTTTTACTCAGCTACCAAGCTCAAGATCAGAATAAACACTTAACATTTACTTCTTATTTAGCTACAGAAAACAGGGGAGAGATGTTTTCCATAACAGTTCAACGAGGACTGTAACTCTTTCAGGACATTATTAACAGCAAAAATGCTTACCTTTGGACTCCTGCCCTCAACGACGCAGAGTAACGCCAGTCAGCATTTGGTCCTTTGGGCTGAAGAAAGGAGAGAAAGAGAGAGAAAGATGAAGAGAGATAGAGGGAAATAAGGGGTGGAAGGACAGAAAAGGGTTAGATACATTCTCATCAATAAATCATGCTGCTCAATGTGTGTGTTTCTGCCTTGCATTTTAATATGAACCACAGCTAAAGGAGACCAGGACTACAGGGACGATTATTGGCAATACGCCATGGCCCATGACTCTGGTAAAAAACTTGTATGTGTGGAGAGAGTGTTCTTCATAATAAAGCACATGAAGGACACTTGACATTCACCTAATAACATACACAACATATTACAAAAGCTGCACGATATATATGGTACCATATTGGTTAATGACTGATTTAGTGATTTTAATATATTGGCATTGGCAGATATTAGTGGAGCAATATTACTGGAGCAAGTTTTCCAAGAAAACGCTATTTCAGCATTTCTACTTAAAATTTAAAAAAAATCCAATCCAATGTGTTATTATTATTTTATTTTATTTTTTGTGAAAATTGATTCTCCACTATTTTTTCAGTGCATTTTTACATTTACATTGTAAAACAATTTGGTGTAAGATTTACTTTGTAATTACTTGTGTAATTTACTAGCAATTTCTGAATGAAAACTGTTTCTACACCATTTTTTTTCAGTGTGTTTTTAAATTGAAACTATAAAAAAGTCTCAGATGTACTTTGTAAATATACTAGCAATTTTGAGTGAAAATTGTTTCAAAGGAACGGCAAGAACACATTGAATTAAACATGAAATTCTGAAGTAGAAAGACTTCTTGTAAAATACATTTCAATAATCTTAATTATTCATTTACGACTTCGAAAAATCATTTTTACAGTGTAGATAATCTTTGCCATAATCTAGTGCTCATTCAATTTAATCTTAAATAATTTGTAAATCTATTCTTGACTGAATATGTGCTTGTTATATTTTCAATTATAATTCTGTGATGACTAAATTCACTTCATAACTTTTAAAATGATTGATTTAGTGACTTTCTACACATATTATTATAGAATCATAATTTTAATATCAGCCATTTAGCACTTATCGGCCATAATATTGAAATAAATACATATTTATTTGATATCAGCCAAAATGTTAATATAGGTGCATCACTATAGCCATTACCACACATTTTTAAATGACTTTGCCCTTTCTGCTAGTCCCTAAACATCAAGTCCCTAAACATCTTTCTCTTCTCCCAGCATTCATCTCCTCATTCCCCATGGTATGGGAATGATATCATCCTGGGATACCAGCTGACCTCATGTAAAATTGAGCATTTTCTGCCCTCAACTAACGCAACTCAATCTGAGCACTGGTCACAAGATGACCATTCACCTTGCAACATAATAGAAAGCCTCAAACAAAGATGGTCATCTGCTCCTCCAGCAGTTCACAGTGAATGGATTAATTGGTCTTGCACAGAGGGAGAGCACAACCACGTAGTTGCCACTCTTTTTATATTTGCCCTAGTAAAGAAAAAAAAAAACTAGGTTGGGTAATATGTGAAAAGATGAGGCATTAGAGAATGGCCCAGATAATTTGAGTAAATAACATGCTTTAATCAGGTGAATTCAGGGGGGAGAGAGTGCGTGCAAAGAGACTTCGCTTCGCTCTCACAATGTCATTTGCAGGGCTTGAGAATCAAAGGCTGGAGGTTAATTTCATTGCCTGCTCTCTTATCTTGGACAGACGGCCTCTGCTCCTAAATCCTCTGCAGTGTCGAATGTGCTGCAGTACCTCTCACCGACACATCTGAGAAGATCTGATGCTGTCAAGAGCATCTCTCTGTAAACTCTAGTTATTCTTGGACTGTAGACATTTTTAGACTATTTTTTGTCTTTTTTAAACCATCTGCAATATCTCCTCCCATGAGCCAGAGATCAAGGCTGCACAGCCTTTGGATCATGTTCTGGCTAATTAAAACACATTTCACGAATCCATGGCTGACAGAGTGAACATGAATTCACGTCAATTACACTGACAAAAACACATCAATTGAACATCTATGACAGCAAATGCATTGCACAGGCACTACACTAAAATGTATCCTATCTGCATTAACTGTGAGGAGTTTTTTTTTCTTCACCAAAATGGTCTATGTGGCACCAAAAAATAACTTTTTACTTCAGTGTAATTTAGTGTACACAAAATAATGTAGAAATTCAAACACAATATTGGAGTAAAGGCAGTGACATGGCCTGGGTGGCAGTGAGAGGAAGGAGATAATCCTGAAAATGTGATGACAGCTTCAGATGTGGGAGCAAACGCCTGAATCATCATAAATGCATTGTGCTACTCTATAAAGTCTTGATGTTTGACACTAATGCAGGGTGAAGCAAAGCACTGTAAAGCTGCACTAGATAACCGCACAGTACAAAAGGAGATGACAAGGTCAAAAGCTTCTGACACGTGGGCACAGAGCTTTACAGCAACTCATGGTCTGACTGAATTACTTTTTACACTAAAACATACTGGAAACCAGAGTAGCACTATATTGAGTGAAAGTTTAGATCAACTAGCTGAACTCTGGTTTCCAATATATCTAGTTTTACTGAAATTTAGTCAGAACTTGTGCTGCATGAGAACATTTTAGGATTTTATGTTAAGTAATTTAATATAAGTGTAATCTAAATTATGCAAAAAAATGCTATATTAAAAAATGGTGAAAAGTGGTTTAACATATGACATTTTTCGGTTAAATATGTTAAATATTTAAAATAGTTTTTGGAAGAAAAAAAAGGGAATTACCATATAATTTGCAGTTTAAATCTACAAAATACTCAAAAAGAATCACCAAAATTTATGGTAAAAATCAATAAACAAACATTCTTAGAAATTCCTGTGGGATGCATCACATTATGACTATATTTTATTTAAATAATTCTTATTTTTAGCATTCAATCATTAGTATTATTATATACTATATATTAATTAATTCATTTATTATTATAAATAATATTATAATATTATTATGAAATTATGTAAAACCCCAAACACTGGCATCATTTTTTTTTACACTGACTTTCAGGCAACAACAAACATTTTGACTCATTTTTCTTTTTTTCTTTTTTTACTGTTGTTTTTTCTAGACATTTTTACGGATATATATAATTTCTAATGAGACACACCTGTAGTGCTGCATCTGGCATACTAAGTCTGCGAACAAATCCGCTCCCTCCTGTAAAAAAGCGCTCAGAGCCCCAGGTGCCACTGATAGGTCGGCCCGTGTTGTAGAACATGAAGGTGTCGCTGCCTGAGGTAGCAGTCATACAGGTCTTGTAGCAATAGGTTTTGGTCAGAGAGCCATTACCCCGGACTTCAATATAATGAGGCTCAACCTTGAGGTCTCGTCTAAGCACCACATTGTTATTGGATTGAGAGCCACCACCACCTCCACTGCCCCCTCCTGAGCCACCTTCCGCTTGGGCCTTCTGGGACACGCAGCAGGATGAGCAGGACCCGGGCTGGGTGCAGTAGGCATGGCAGCGCACGATAGCCAGCACAACCACTGTCACCAAGAACACAAAGGTGGTGGCACTCAAAGCTACAATGAGGTACAGTGTCACGTTGGAAAACAAAAGAGAACTGTGAGGGCGGATGATTCGTTTGGGGTCAGGCATGACTTTTAGTGGCACCTCCATGACAGCAACGTTGATCGTAGCAGTGGATGACAAAGGTGGTTCGCCATGGTCCCTTACTAGTATGGTTAGACTGCAAGTGGTGGAGTTGTCTTCAAGGACATGCCGCGTTGTACGAATTTCTCCCGTGTGTTCATGAACTTTAAATAGATCCAGATCGCTGGCCTGGTCCAGCAAATAGACAACCCACGCATTCTGTCCTGCATCTGCATCATAGGCCACTACCTTTGTGATCAAAGTTCCTGGCTCTGCGTTTTTCTGTACCGTCTCCGTTAAGCGTGTGCCATTGGTTGGGGGATTCACAATCTCGGGTGCGTGGTCGTTTTGATCCATTACGTAGATATAGACAGTGGCTACACGGCTGAGTGGTGGGATACCCCCATCCTGAGCTTTAACCTGGAAGTGAAACTCCCGTAATGACTCATAGTCAAAGGAGCGAAGGGCATAGGCAATACCTGTGTCCGCTTTAACCGACACATAGGAGGTGACCGGGATCCCGTGATTGTTGTCGTTTAGGACCGTGTAGGTGATGCGAGCGTTTTCATTGACATCCGCGTCCTGAGCTTTGACGGTGCAGAGCGAGGCTCCAGGTGCATTGTTCTCCATGACATACACAGTGTAGGAGGTCTGCTCAAAGCGTGGCGGGTTGTCATTTACATCTGCGACATCCACCTGAATGGTCTTCTGAGACGAAAGGGGAGGGTTTCCGGCATCGGTAGCGCTGAGGGTGACATTATAGGCTGCTGTGGTCTCACGGTCAAGAAAGGCAGAAGTTACCAAGGTATAGTAATTTCTAAACGACTTGATTTTGAAAGGAAGACCAGGTTGAATTTCAAGGGTAACCTGTTTGTTAGGTCCAGAGTCCCGGTCAGTCACACTGATCAGGGCCACCACGGTATCTGCACGGGCATCTTCACGCACTGGACTGGACAAAGACGAGAGCACGATATCTGGAACATTGTCATTGACATCCACGACCTCCACCACCACTTTGCAATGGGCTGCTACTGGAGCTGGGCCTTTGTCCATGGCCTGGATGTACATTTCGTATGAATTAGTGTCCTCATAGTCCACATTGCTCTTGACTCTGATTTCTCCAGTGTTGGTGTCCATACTGAACATCTGCCTGACCCTGTCTGGTGTGTAACTGCTGAATGAAAAAAGCACCTCCCCGTTTGTTCCTTCATCTTGGTCTGTGGCATTCAGTTTGATAACCAAAGTGTCTTTGGGCGAATTTTCAAGCAATTTGACTTTATATACTGAGCTGTCAAAAACGGGGTTGTTGTCATTCGAATCTAAGACTCGAACGTTACTTTTCACATTGCTCTTGACTCTGATTTCTCCAGTGT